AGCAAAAGCAAAGCCAAAACAAATAAAAACCCTATTTTTATCCACCACTCTACACTGCTGGATGAGAATCATTTGTTTACCTTGCATTACTTGAAACACTTTGGGTTGCAAATGGCAGAAATTCTACCTCAGAATGGCTTAAGCTAATAACAACAACAGAAAGAGACTTTGCTTTATGTAATTAACAATTTCAATGGTTGTGGGAATTCAGGATGTAAGTTAGTATAATGCCAGGGTCAATGCCAGTGGGCCCCCCCCCACACTCCTCCTTTCTTCTCTCCCTTTCTCCTTTCCTTCCTCCCTGGTCCACTTTCTGTTGTTTTCTTTTTATTATTTATTTTTCTAATGGCAAGATGGCAACAATACACCTGCCTCACCTCACTCCATCCCACAGTTTGAAGTCCAGTAAGAAAATGACATACAACAGTAGTCTTTCCAAATGCATGTTTGTACCTCAATGGTACTGACCAAGTCCCACGACCATCCCCAGACTAACCTCTGTGGCCAAGCAGAGGAAATGCTGATTGGATTGGCTGGGGTCACATCCTGGGGGTGCAGGAATGAAGACAGCGCAGTCTGAAACACATGAATGCAGAGTAGGAAGGGGAGGGCTTACCAGGAGGGACTTGGGATTCCACTTCATCAGTTGTGTGTTCTGGTATTCTGCAGTACACTGTTCTGCTCACAGGCTCTCTGCAGAACCCTGCTGATTTATCTCAGGAGCAGGGCAAAGCCGGTGAGGCAGGAAGCACATGCAGAATGAGAAGTTCTGGTCATGTATATAAAGGTGCAGGGGGCAGAGGATGAGCAGGGAGAGGGCACAGTTGCAGCAGAGGCCATGATGAAGTCCAGCCTGGTAGGCCTAACATGGCATCTAGAGACTAAGGCAACAGATGAATCAGGTTAGCAGTCTACAAAGGGAGATTACCATGAGAATTACAAGTGTCATAGCAAGCTGTTGCAACATGGTAAAAGGAAATCCAGAAGTGGGAGAGACTTTGGCTACTACAGAAGTACAGCACCCAAGAAAGAGAAGGGGAAACTGATATTACTACAACTACCATGGCATATACTGATGTCCACATGCATTAACTCTTACTCACAATGCACTTGGATTAGATGTGCATGCATATATCATTGCTGAGTACAAGAATGGCCAGTGTTCAACATGCTATATGAGAGCAGAGGACGCAGGAAGGGCTGGTAGCTTATCTTCCTTTGGAATCTTCCTTTGGAATGTCTAACTTCCATTTTCACAGAAATCCAGCAGATTTTTCAGAAGTTTTCACCTAGGACTTCTGGTTGCTGTTTCAGCAAGTAAAAATAACTTGGAAGTTATTGTGCCCAGCCTTACAACAAGGAACAAGATTAACAAACTGAAAATCAATGGCTTTTCCTGGACCCATTAGAGAACTGAGGTGACAGGCCATGTTGCTATCCCTGAATCCAAGAGACAGGTAAATACTGAAAGTTACAGCTGACATCTCCATGTCAAGAGCAGAACCACTGGAGCCATAAATTAGTGGAAACATTTAAATGGCAATTTGAATAAATTTCTGGAGGCAGAATATGAACTATCATGAGAGTGAGAAACTGCTGGGGCCACAGTCCTGGGGGGCACCCACAGGTGGTAAAGAGCTGAGAAAGGTCCCCTTTCCCTTGGGCAAGGGGAAGGAAAAAGTAATCATTGTGAAATAGGTCCAGAGCATTCTCCCTAACACAGGTCTATTGGCCGGGGGCAAAGACAAAAGAGCCAACACCACCTGCAGGAAGAGCCTTTGGTCTTCTGGTCTCATAAGGGAGAGGGAAAGAACAGCTAAGAAACACCTGTGAAGGGCACAGCCCACTACAACACTGGATTTAATATTGCAGAGCACTCCTCTTCTTCCACACTTCACAACCAAATCAATGTGCCCAATTCTATTTAAGGAGGAGCCTCTAGGGAAGCTCAAGGAGAACGGGAAGATAACACAAGGACAGCAGAGGAATCAGAAGCCTCCAACACTTACAGTTGCCCTAAACACCACACAGAGCCCAATTTCTAGTAGGATTAACATGAAATCTCACAGTTACAGGCTAGTTGCCTCTGTTCCTAGTATCCAATATATCATCTGGCTTTTAATAATGAAAAAATTATTAGGCATGCTGAGTGGCAAGGCAAGTAATTCATCTTAAGAGACACAGCAAGTGTCAGAACTAGACTCAGATATGATACAAATTTTGGAGTTTCATGTCTGCATGAAATTTTAAATAGCTATGATTAACATGGTAAGTACTGTCATGCAAAAAGCAGATAACATCCAAGAACAGATTGGTAACATAAGCAGAGAAATAGAAGCCAAGAAAGCATCTATTTGAAAGAGCTTGAAGATGGGCCAAAGAAAATTCCCAAATTGAATGCAAAACAGTGAATCAGTTAAGGACTTTTTAAGCCCAGTTTTGATATCATGAGTATGGCTATTTTTCATTATTGTTTTCTTTTTTTAAAAAGATTTATTTGTTTATTTGAAAGTCAGAGTTACACAGAGAGGGGAGAGGCAGAGAGAGAGGTCTTCCATCTGTTGGTTCACTCCCCAGATGGCTGCAACAGCCAGAGCTGTGCTGATCTGAAGCCAGGAGCCAGGAGCTTCTTCTAGGTCTCCCACGTGGTGCAGGGGCCTAAGGACTTGGGCCATCCTCTACTGCTTTCCCAGGCCATAGCAGAGAGCTGGATCAGAAGAGGAGCAGCCGGGACTAGAACCGGCGCCTAAAAGGGATGCCGGCGCTTCAGGCCAGGGCATTAACCCACTGCGCCACAGCGCCGGCCCCTATTATTTTCATTTATTTGAGAGACAGAGAAAAAGACACACAGACAGAGCTTCCATCCACTGTTTCATACCCCAAATGCCCACAATGGCTGGGGCTGGAGCTGGAAGCCAGGCTTGCAATCCAGGTCTCCCGCTGGGGAGAAAGGAATCTAATTAATTGAGCCATCACTGCCGATTCTCAGGGTCAGGATTAACAGGAAGTTGGAGTTGGGAGCCAGAGCCAAGAACAGAACTTAGGCACTCAGATGTGCTAAACACATGCCCCAAGTATTGCCATTAATCACTTGGAGAACTAGGCCTTGTAACAGCCAGTGATTGCTTTTCCCAAGTCTGTTGGACTTATAGGAGTCTAAGTCACTGCCCATCTCTGCTCAGCACTCCCAGAAACATGCATGCTCTCACCTGTGATGTTCAGAGCAATAATTGGCCTGGTGCTTCTGATTGAGCTATGCCTTAATTAATAATAGAGAGCTGGACAGCAGTCAGAGGGGCAGCAAAGGAGATGGCAGCGGAAGATCCGTCTGACATCAGGCCGTGTTGCCGAGACCTATTCCAGATGAGAAATGGCAAGTAAGCAGAAGGCAGCCTCTGCATCCTGAAGAACTGATACAGGAACAGACTGTCAAGGCAGGTGCACATCTGGGTATGAGATAGAGGCGTCATCTCAGAAAGAAGAGAGAATCTGAGCGCTCAGAACTGGGGCACAATGGAGAGTAGCTTCTAGTGGAGTTCCCCCAACAGCGGGATCCTGGAGCTCCTTGGAAGCCTCCTGTCTGCCTGGCGCAAGGTCTGACAGAGGCCAAAGACGAGGGTGGACCTGAGTCAGCAGAGGGGCGGAAGCACCTCCCTGAGAGCCAGGCCTGCCACTTGCTTTAGCCCGCTGCAGCTGAGCCCCAGCCCTGAGTCACAGCTGCCCTGCCCTGGGACTGAGTTCCGTGCTCCATGTAGAGACTCCTAGGCTTTGCCCAATGAGAAAATGTGACAGAACTTGCACTTTTAATCTTCCAGAGCTTTTCTTTTCCTATCACATCCCTGCCTCCCCCATCCCCACTGGACCCCATCCCCTCCCATGCTAAGTGTCTGTGATGGTTAATTTCGTATGTCAATCTGGCCCACTGTGGTGCCCAGTTGTCCTCAAACAGCAGTCTAGATGTTGCTGGGAAGACATTGTAGAGATGTGATGACCATTTGACATGCATAGACTGTGAGTAAACAGGTGACTCTCTGGGGCAGAGATGGGTTTCACCCACCCAGGGGAAAGCCTGAAGAGCGAAGACTGTAGTCTCCAGAAGGAGCAACTCTGACTCAAGACTGCAGCTCAGACACCCTGCCTGCCTTTCCCACCTGCCAGCCTGGGTTCCTTACATCGTCTCCCACGCAGGTTCCGCTTCTCTGGAGAGCTCCAACAGATGCCTCTAGGAGTGCGTAGACATGAAAGAGTTAATCTTCCCACAGTAAGTGCAAACTCACATTTTTAACCCAAGGAGATTATTTTTTTTCCCAGTACAACAATTACTCCAGCCATTTCTCTGACAGTGGTACTAACAAAAAAATACATACTTTGTTCAACTTTGCTGCTTTTCATTAATTCTCAGCTTCACGGAGTTGCGACAGGATGTTGCCCTCTGGCATGCTGGCATCAAAATTAACGCTTGTTTTGAAAGTCATTATAACTCTGGTCAACCATTCCCAACTGCAACCAGCGGAGGGTTCCTACACTTCAAGGGCTTCAAGGGGCACCTGTGGAAGCAATCCACTGCCTGGGAAAACCAGTAACCAGGACCAATAACGAACCACCAGAATTCCAGCTTATTGAACCAGACTGATGGAACTGAAACTCCATTTTCGCTTCTGATTTTTGTTCTGATTTTTCGAAAAGAACGAAAATTATCAAATGCTACCATGTGACTGTCAGGAGCATGCTGACAGATAAGAGGCCCCACCCTAACCCTACACTCCCCCAAGAACTCTCCTGGCAGGGGCTGGCAGAAGATCAGTGATCTTACTATCACCTCTCAAACTCCATGGGAACTAGAGTCTGACACGGAGGGCTTTCATCCGTGAGCGTGGGACGGTGTTTTGTTTTACTTCACAAAAAACAAACAAACAACTATGTGCTTATGTTTTCACTGTCGTTTGCAGACAAACTGCCATTTTCTCTTATGTTCCCAACAGGCTGGCACCTACCTGCCTGATGCTACGCAGCGCACACTGAGAGCCCCTTGCACACTGCCCAGCAGCCGTAGAACACACCGTGTCCGAAACAAATGTCTGACACTGCATCTTTTAACATACAGACTCAGATTTTATTTTGACAAATTGAAGATAGAAAAATATCGTAAAGTGAATATAGTGGTTGCTCTTTTTGTGACATGGTTGGGATACGCAGTGCAACTTGAAAGGGATTACGTTGTGGGATGGTCCCTTCTGGCCGAACTTCAGTTAATACTGAGTTATATTCCAGCAATTGCATTTGCTTGAAAGAATACTACACAGTAAAACTGGCGTTTTTTTAAATAAAAGGTTATGCATTCCATAATAAATATTAGAAAGCAACAAACCCAAACAACCTTGAAAATACTTTTATAATAATTACTAAAAGCAAACCTTGGACTACATGATTAAAGCTAAGAACTCACATTTTTTTCAAAATAGCTTTAACATTTTCTACCATGATATAATAGATCACTTACTCTGAGAAACAAGTGAAGGAAACCGAGAGTAAACATGATATTTCAGATGACTATAAACAGTAAACATCAATTCCACCCATTTATAGCTGTCATTTCAACAACACACTGTACACCCAGCCGGCAGTACAAACGGTGGCTCTCTCATCAAAAAATGCAGCCCTGGATGCAATCTTTGAACTTCAGTGCAGTCGTGGGTTCTACACCCCTCTTTGGGGAGGGTGGCTGGCGAGCTCTTGGTACATGCAGCTATGTGGTTATGGTTAGAATGACAAGAGATAAACGTGCTGGCAGTCTGAAGCCAAAACCCCTGCCTGGCCCTGGGAAGCAGCTTCCCACTCTCCCACGCCTTGGGCACAGCAGCGCTGAAGGATCCACCCAGGTGCTGATTGTCTTTGCTTCCCTTCCCCACCTGTCTAGAACAACCAAGAGGCCTTGCGTGTTCTTTCTAACATACAAAACAACTGCAGGTACAGATGCATACACATGCATCTCCTGCCTAAGGACTGGGTAACTCCTCGTTTTCTATCAAATAATCTTTCTTCATATATTTGGTCCCCCTAACTAACCGCCACACTTCCAAGTACGCATCCTTGAGGGATCTCTTGCTGCCTTCTTCAGAGCTGTCTGAGGTCGGCCCGCTCCTGGCCACCAGCGGGACTCCCCTGCGGCTGGCCCTCGCCCCTTGCCCGCTCTGCTGCACGGAGCCACCTGCTGCCTGCCCACCTTCTGCCCCGCCATTTCCACCCTCTCCCGGCAGCTCCTCCATGACGAATGGCAGCTGGTCTCCACTTGGCTGCGCCTCCTCTCCCCCAGGCTGCGCCTCCAGGTCCTCATAGTGGCTTTGCTTTCTAGTCTCCAAGAATTTGGCCACGCAATAAATGATGGAGCCCAGAGTGTTCACCACAACACCGGCAATGAACAGAGAGGTGGGCTCCACGTCGTTGAAGGCCACCATGCCCACCGTGATGGTGGCGATGCTCTTCACCACGCCCACGAAGCTGGTGGTCACGGCCGAGTTGATGTAGGTGCAATGCAGCGTGGTGAAGTTCATGGCGCAGCCGATCAGGATGCAGGCCACGAAGATGCAAACCATGTTCGGGTCCTTCCAGCCCGGGAAGGCCCAGGCGTGGATGGAGTCGGTGCTGGCGAAGGAGCAGACGACCAGCAGCGGCGTGGCGGAAATGGCGATGACGTACTGCGCGGTGAGCGGCCCGTGCTCGGTGTCGGCGCTCGCCTTCTGGATGAGCACCAGGTAGGCGGCGTGCACCAGCACAGCCAGCACGCCTGTCACGTACCCGATGGGGTCGCCAGTCAGGTCACCGGCTCCTGGAGCGCGCGCCGAAGGAAGCCGGCGGGGACCCGCGAGGGGAGGAAAAAGAAGACACCGGGTTGGCGCGCGCGTGGGCAGCCACGGGGTGTAAAGTAGCCGGGGTCGCGCCCCAGCTCTGCCCACCGATTTCCCGGGTGGCAACAGACGCCCACCCTACTCCCGCTCCCTGTGGAGAACGCAGGAGCCAACCTCAGCCAATGCCCCGGGCGCTGCACCCTTCCAGCCCTGTCCCCGGCCGCGACAATGACCCCTGAGGGCGCAGATGTCCTCGGGGTGGGCGCTGTGGTTTCCCCTAACTGGCGCTGCGGTCATCAAGGCGAGTGGTGCCTCCCCCGCCCCGAGGGGGACCCACAGGGAGAGGCAGCCCCAGCTACGGTGGCCCCTGGGCCCGAGGGAGCGGGCCAAAGGAGGGTTGCAGGACGACTGCCCTCTTGGCCTCCAGATGAAGCTTTCCCGCTCCCCCGGCCACGCCCGGCCCACCCCAGGTCCGCTTCGTGCCCGCAGCCCCTGCGCTAGACATTGCCAACTGGCCCCGGGCGCCCAGGCGTCGCTCCCCGCCCCCCCCATTCCACCCCGCGTGACCTGAGGAAGTTCACGGCCCCGCTCCTTCCGGCTGGGTCGGCGGGCTCGGCGGACTCCAGCTCCCAGGCCCGCCGGGAGGAAGGGGTGAAGGGGGGAAGGCCGAGAGGGGGCGGCGGGCAGGGCCACGCCGGCGTGGTAGCGGGGGAGCTGGGGCGGGGGTCGGAAGTCGGACGCCGGGCGTGGGGGATCTGGAGGAGGGGGCCGGAGGGCGGGGGAGGAAGTCGCTTCGCCGAGCCAAGCGGCCACTCTAGATGCTCCCTACCCCTCTGCCTCAGTCTCCCCATGGGGAAGCGAGGCCCTTGCACTGAGTGACCCCCGCGGCCTCTGCCCAGCGGGGTGGGGTGGATGGGCTGGGGGAGGGCGCGGGCCCCTCTCACCTGCCAGGGCGGCGCCGCAGGTGGTGATGAGCACTGCCGCCAGCACCCCCGGCGAGGGCGCGCCGTTTCTGAGGACCAAGACGCCGATGAGCATGGTGACCAGGGGCAGGCAGCGCTTGAAGACCACGTACATGGGCAGGCTGAGGCCGCGCAGGGACCAGAGCGTGAGGCTGGACTGCAGCGTGGAGAGCACTGCGACCCCCGCGAAGGAGCGCGCCAGGCTCAGGCCGAAGGGGGGCACCGCGATGAGCCCGAGGCGCCGCAGCAGCTCCAGGCTCAGCGCCGCCGTGGAGCTGGTCAGGCACTGCACCAGGGTCAGGAAGGAGAACTGGTAGCGGCTGATGAGGAACTTGAGCAAGATGTTGAGGGAGCCCGAGAAGACCCCGTGCGCGATGGCCACCGAGATGCCCAGCACGCGGCCCCGGCACAGCTGCCGCATCGCGCCGGCCCCGCCGCGCCCGGCGCTGGCGGAGCTCGGGGACCTGCGCGAGGGGAGCGGGGAGGAGCGCGGCGGGGGCGCCCGCCCAGCGCCGCGGCCAAGGGCAGGGGGCCCCCCGGCTCGGCTGCAGGGGGCAGCTCCAGCCAGGCGTTCCTCGCGGCTCGCGGTTTCGCCTCCGACTGCCCCGTAGCCCGGCGGAGGCAGTGGCGGGGGCGGGGGACTCCGAAAAGTGCCGGGGGTGGAGGGGGCCGGTCTGGGGGGAGTGGCGGGAATCCCAGCGACGGCGATGTGTGAGTAGGCGACGAGCCGCTGTGGGTTGTGTCCCGCGCGCCTTCGCCGTCAGGGCAGAGACGCTGAGCGCAGGGGAGCGGGGCGGCTGCCGCAGGACAGCACGGGCCCTCGGGCACCTGCGCCCACCCGCGACGGCTCTCCCGGGTCTCCCGCGGCGCCTGAGCCTGGTGCAGCAAGTTGGGGGGATCCCCGCACAGATGAAGCCGATTTAGAAACAGCAGCGCTCCGGGATCCAGCGCCGTTTATTGGTGGCAACAAGTGACGGCGCCCCCAGCCCCGGGCCCCCGCGCTGCGGCGGCTTTACCGCCCACGCGCCCTGCTACACTCAGGATCTGACACTGCGGGGACCCGCGGCCCCAATCTCCGGCCCGGCGTGCTTTAGAGCCTGGACAGGGCCACCCCCTCCGGGGCCGGCAACGGACTCGTGTCCGCGCGCCCGCCGGGGACGCTCCTGCGATGTCCCACGTGGCGCTGTGGCCTCGCCGGGCGCCGGAGCCTGGGGGCGACGGACACCTTCGAGGTGGGGCGAGGGTGTACAACAAGCTGATGAGCTGAAACCAAGTCGTCTCCGGGGCGAGGAGCCGCTCCCAGTTCCGGGGCAGCGCCAGGCGACGCGGCCACACAGGCGGGGCAGGGTCAGAGGCGCCGGGGAACCGGGGTGATTGGGGGCGCACGTGGGACCAGGTGCTCATGGCCCTCCGCCAGCCAGGGCTCAGTGCAGCGTACTTTCGGTGTAGGGGACGGGTCGCAGCCTGCGGGACTGCCGCGAACAGGGCGTGTAGGCGCCACCTTCCCAAGCCAGGGCACACCTTCACCCGGCAGGACTTGGAAACTGTACGCTTCCCATACGGGTAAGAGGAAAAGGAGATTCTTAGGATTTTGCAGGTGCAAGTCCTCAGTGACTCCCTAATTCAGGTTTCGGGGAAGTAGCGCCCGGACCCGTCGTAAACTCAGCAGCGACACAGGGGATCGCTCCGGGGTTTGTGTGCGAGGGATGGGTTCGAGATGGCTGCGCTCCGCCCCTTTCGCTGCCAGCTGTGCACTTGTGGTGGCCACGGAGACGGCAGCCTCCTAAAGGTTAGATGCTGCACGGCGTTGCTTTTCTGTTATTAATACGTGGAGACCCATTCCTACCGTGCGTCTTCTTTCTGTCCGTTGTTTCCACCTGTGCTGATCAGGACATTTGAGCCCCGGTTTTAATGTGATTATTATTGGAGCAGGAAAAAAAAAAAAAAAAGATTACAGCAGGGATTGGCGGTTCCTCTGCGGTCCTTCCTAAGGGTCAGGTTTTATGTTGCGGTGTGAGAGAGGGGTCTCGCCCAGGTCCTTAGGTGCCCAGCGCCTAATAGGGACACCACCCCGATCGTGACAGGCGAGCACTCGGAAGTGTTTGTGAATGACCCAGTGTGCAGCTTTTCAGGAATCACACTGGATGGACACCTTAAAGGTCCACTGAACGCGTGCTTCTGCTTCCCTGGGGAGCTCTTGGGTTTGGTTGCTCTAAGTCCTAGTTCCACACCTTTCACTATGCAAGGGACTCTTTTTCAAGCGTTGATGTTATTGAAGTCCGGAACAACAATTCAAATCATGTATATTGTGTGGAGTGTACATGTTTATTTAAAATATACCCAGTGACAAAAACTGTGAAATCTATCTTCTTAGAGACATCAGCAAATAACAGATTTCTGCTTCTAGGGACCATTCCAATTAAAGGATGGCTGCCCTGAGCCACCCTCAGCGAATATTGTAAAGAAGTGGCTGTGCAGAGCTAGTCTGGGGATGATTCATGGCTGCCAGCGACTATACTTGCTTCCATTTGTGATACTAACATTAGGTAAGAGATTGGGGCTGATTCAGCCGCCTCACCCTTCCTATTTAGGCAAGACTAGCTTAATAGCTGAACCTACGGCACGTTTTCTCCATTGCCTTGCACATCTATAGTTCTCTTCTATGACAACTTTTGTTTTTTTAACTCCATCGCTCACAAAACCAGTTACAAATAGGTGGGTTCCTCAAGAAAACTGGGGGAGAGAGAACACTATGTTTAGCAAGGTTAACTGAACAAGAATGTGGATCTGAAGGTTAAATACAAGCAGCTATTTGATCTCTTAAGGATCAAGGGTCAAGATTCAATAATGGGCCTTCAAGGGAGTCCCACATGGCTCATAGCTAAGGCCTGCTGACAACTGTGAGTGGTGTTAGAAGCTGATCCTGCAGCCCTAGGTGAGTTTCAGGGCAACATAGTGAGAAAACCGAAGTTTTCAGTAAGCATTGCTGAATTCAGACTTCCAGAAACTGAGACACAAATGTGTGATGTCTTAAACTGCTAAGTTTGGGGGTGATTTGTTACACAGGGATAACAAACGCACACTAAACAGCGGGGGTATTGTTCCAGCTTACAACACTTTGTACTTTTAATTGACTGTCCTTTCTCCTGTAGTCAGGCATTTAAGTCTTACCCACCAACAATGTAACAAATACGCCTGGGTGTTTATTCTTAAATACCTTCAAATATCTCAGGATTTCCAGAAGCGGGACAAGTCAAGGAGTAACTTTAAATCTTGATTCATTGCTACACCGCCTTCAAAAAGGTGTCTAACACTACTCTCATTTTAAGCAGTACTGGACACATCTAACATTTTTAACATTTGCCAAACTTGTAAGCAAAAAAGATCTTATTGACTGAACCTTTGTAAAGCATACGAGGGTCTTTAACCTCATGGAAGATGCCTGTTATGAAAAAACTGTAGGGATTTCAAAATTTTCCCACCAAAATAAACTTATCCTCTGGTTCCCTGTTTCGTAAGAAACACCTGTGTATCAAGTCTGTGCCTTTCTTTGTTGTGATCTCTAGTGCTTCCACTTCTGTGCTTGGTTGTTTTACTGCTTTTCAAGAGCTCATTATCAGTTCTGGGTCTTAACTGTTTTGTTACCTATGATGCAAGCATACCCTTTCATTATGTCTTTTAGCTTTACTAATGGTGTCTTTTGTAGGTTGTAGGTTGTCCATCTTTAGTCTTTCCACATGACATCTGTCAGACCAAGGACAGGCGGCCCAGCACACCCAGCTATAGTGAAGACAAGGATGATCCCTGCACGATTTCCACCGGGCACTGGTGAGCACGCTGGTGCTGCTTGGGGAGAGGGGCAGGAACTGGCCCAGAGGACCTTGCTGTCTGGTTAGCGAGCTTGAACGTTTTTCCTGTGAGCAGCCCTCTACGTAGAGAAAGGTTTGACACTGAAATTGAGGTAATCAGATTGCACTTTAGATTCGTCTTTGGCAGCTGTGTTGAAGAGGACGGGTGAGGGTGCAGAACTGGAAACAGACACACTGTTTAGGAAGCTGCTGGAACTGTCCAGAGAAAAGCCAGTGGTGGCTTGAACTGAGGCAGGGCTGGTTGGACTGAGAGGAAGAGACAGAATGGAGAATAAATAGGGATAAAAGGGACAGGACTTCGTGAAAGGATGGCATTGAGGTCTTTAGCTTGACCTACACAGGTCCATGAGCTTGACTCCTTGTTGGCAAACTCACAAATGGAGAATTTGGTGAGCATGATGAGTTTGGTTGGGACAAAATGAGTGCAAAGGCTTGTGGGAGACCTTGGTGGGGAAGGCAGGAGATAACAGATTTCAGTATAGATGGAAGCAAACAACAGTGGATTAGCACCTCCAAGGAAAGGCCTGCTAAGTAACAAATTAATGAGGGTTCATTTTTGGAAGAGGGAAATTATTGCTAAGACATCCAGCAAAGAAATGCCAAGTGCAGCAGGGACAGCTGGCTCTCAGCCTGGCTCTCCCTGGGCAGGATGGACTTTGGAAGCATCACCCCAGAAGCAGGCTTAGCTTTGCAGCTCTTTATAGGGTTGCAAATGCAAATCTGTCAGAGAACGGCCAAGATCGAGTCACCAGGGAGTTCCACCTTCGACCATTTCTCCCTGGGCCAACTTCTGCTACTCCAAGGAAACAGAGGCTGTGTGGCAGGACCAGGGGTTGGATTCGGTCATTTCAGACTTGAATTCTAGTTGCAGGACTTCCCGTCTATCATGACTGCCGAGAACGCGGGCTTCCGTGTCCAGGAAGCACGGAGGCCTCCCTTGCAGGGATGTGACAGAGATGAAAGGGGACAGCATATATAAGGAAGCTCACGTAGCACCCTGATCACACATCAGTGACTGAGTTGTTCCCTTTTCCTTCACAAACTCTTTAGTGCTGTTCTGTCACAGCTGGTGCAGAAGCAGCCTGGGGAGGTACACAGGATGAAAGCTAACAGCGCAGTAGCCAGGAGACAAGTGCTGCTTCAGCCAACCTGGAAGGATCTGTGCTTATCCACAAGTTGTTTACCTTGGGAGCTACCAAGAACTCAGGAGAGAATCCGGCTGGGTTTCTTCTAGTGTTCCAATCCTACCTCCAGAGAACCAACTGGATAAGCATTCAACCACCCTCTTTCCCACTGACAAACTCCAAGACTCTGAGTTATAGGGCAGGCATCACGGTAGAGCAGTTGCTAAGTTGCCTGGGAATCAGAGTGCCTGGGTTCAAGTCCTGGCTCTGCTTAAATCCAGCTTTCTGCTAACGCACACCCTGGGAGCAGCAGGTGACGGCTTGGAGTACTTGGGTCCCTGTCACCCATGTGGGAGCCATGAATTGAGTTCAGGGCTCCCGGCTTTGGCCTGGCTCAGTCCCAGATACTGCAAGCATTTGGCGAGTGACCACTTGATAGAAAATCACAGTATCTCTCTTTTTCAAATACTAATAAATAAGAAGTTAGCATTCTAAATATCTCTAACATCCCTGAAATACAGGGAAAAAAATAAACCAAGGGACATGTTAGTTTTTAAATCCCAAGTTTGGGTTTCAAAAGATATGTGGTAGACTATTTCGTTAATAAAATCTCCTGCATTCTAAAAGGACAATAATTCTCTGTTTCGTTTCATTGTAAATACCATCAGGGTTGGGTATTTTCAAAGGCCTACTGTAGTTCTATGGAAGTGGGGAACCACCAACGTGGACCTGCTCTTATTGAACCAAATCTTGGTGTAATGCATTTGTTTCCAGGGAAGGAGCTACAATACCATTGTGTTGAAGGAGCTACATACCCATTATGGCGACAACTCTAAGGACTGAGCACCATGAACGTCACAATCCACTATGTTAAGCAGTGCCCTTTTTATGGGGCCTTTCAAAAATAATTATTGCTGACCTAAGTTCCAGAAAAAGCTGTACTTTCCCTGAGATCATCCATTCAAATAACAAAATTTACCAGGTGCATTCTGCATACCAGGCCTGGTGGCAGGGCCAGCCTAGGACAAACAACAGTTTTAAAATTTTTTGATAGCAGAAAAATGGAAGAAACTGTCTCAGGAGCCATAAATACTTAACATGACTTGGAAAACGTGTAATAAAGTAAACTCGTAACCTACTGTATTCCGTGTTCTGAAAGCATGGCCCAGTCTTTGAGAGAATCTCATTCAGTCCATCTGTCAAGCACACAGCAAATGTTCAACAAATAATTACTAAACAAATGAGTAAGTGAAACGTGTACCACAGCCCTGTTACTCATCCCTGGACATGTAGAATTGCATTCATATATATACAACATACTGGAAAAAGCAATCTGGTTGGGGATATCGTAAGTGATAAATGATCAAGAGATGTAGTTTATTTTGATTTTTATCAACAACAGTGATTATATTTTACATCAAAAGTAACATAAATTAAGAATGAAAAGTATCACTATCAATATAATCTACTGATCTCCCATACTTTAGTCCATTTTACAACAGAGATTACATTTTAATAGACATTATGACATTAATTAGTTCTTAGAAGTTTTAGAAATATGGCTTATGTACCAGGCCTAGATAAGCCAAAGTCTTTTCAGCTGCCTTAAAATGCATTCCAGGGTAAATCCGAAAAAGTTGAAATCTGAAATAGTGCATGTAAAAGCGTAACAGCTGTGCCTGCAATAGTTAATTTATTTGCTGTTAAGCTGTTCTTCACACAGCTTCCTCCGTTTCTGACCATCATAGATCTCAAGCAGGAGCAGCAAGACAAGCAGGATCATATATCTTTATTGTTTCATCCCAAGAACAGTCAGCCACCTACAAAACAAGAACAAAGCAGGAATCCTGTGTAGATGTATGTAATTCAAAATTGGTAGCAAAATCCCAATATATGCCATTTAGAGTGCGGGTCACCCACTAGTAAGTAGATTTTTAGGTAGGAAAAACATAAGGATAAGTTTTTGATAAAAGGTCTACTTTTCCCTTTTTAAGAGACATTTCAGGGATAATTTTCAACAGACTTAAGTTGCCTGTAAGGAACTGCCCCTCCCCCACTCTACCTGAGTGCTACATGATTCCCTACTTCCTGAGATAGATACTGAGAAATGCATTCCGAGACCGTGAACAAAGATGCCCTGCTCAGTATGTGCGGACAGAGAGGAAGCTACAGCTTAGCGCTCGCCTTCAAAAAATGATCCACTCAGGACCGAATGTGGGAAGTGCCCTAATGGAGACTCTGAGAGGAGAGACACAAGCATGATTCGAACTGGGGCAGTGTCCAGGGGACTTCAGGACGCTGTGGCCTTCAAAGTGCCTCTCCGTACCCTTCACAGGAGTTCCACACCTGCAACCAGACTCTAACCCTGCTCAGGGTATCGACTACAAACACTGCCTCACAAAGGCAAACTGACGATCTTATTTGGTTACCCTTACACTTTCAAGTTTTTATACCACAGGACACAAAGATCATGCATAAATCTCAGCTCTCTACCCTTTGTCACATGCTAGGCCCTTTAGTATGTTAAGCATCAGCTGTTCTGCAGAAAAGAATCAGAGAAATGGACTTAGGCTTCTAGTGAAAGGTATCTAAAAGTGATGCTTCTGAATCCTTATTCAGCACTCTCCAGTTCAGCTTCTTATTTACTCAGGACTTACAACAGCTGACAAATGTCAAGGCCACCGAATCAGCAATGTTCATAAATCTAGACCTAATTGGTAACACAAGAAAGACCTAGAAGAGTAGTGATACAGAATCATGAATAGGGTGATTCAAATTAATGCAAATAATAATGATATTTTACCATTAGTTAATTAAACCCTATCTTGTTCCATAAATTTAAAGCTTATAATAAAAACCAGGAAGATAATAAAAAGCACTTTACTAAACTAACCAAGAGGCTCCAGAGTCCCCAGGATTAGCCCTTAGAGACTTCCTGGTAAGGAACAAAGACCATGTGTTGGGGGAGGGGGAGGCGTATGGTCTCATTAATTACCATGCCCACCCCAATGGCCTCTGGTGGCATCACTTCCCTCTTTAATTCTAGGATTGAGAGGAAACACAGGGCTCTTCCTTAATGTCCCATGGTTCCCATCTATGGCCAGCCTAAAAAAAATTAAGAAAAAAAGACTGCTAACAAAAATAAAACAAATGGCATGAAAATAATAATGGCTTTACAGGAAGAGATCCACTCATTCTTCCCTGCATGCCCTGCCCGCTTCCTGCCTCGTCCTGACAAAAGCCATCTCCCCTGGCCCCCTGCCCGGGAAGGTACTCCTGGCCACAAAGAGCCCTTCCAGGCCAGACTCAGGACAGAGAGACATGCCAGGATGCCTCCTTTTCTGACCCCCTCAGGTCCCCTGTTCTTCACTCTCAGTTCTGACATGCAGACTCTTTGCCCATTACCTTGCTGTCACAAAGAGTGGAGGACTGAAAGAAAAAAGATCAAGAGGTGTCCTTCCAGAAGACAGCTGGCATTGTCTTGGGACCCCTCCGGGTGGGTTACCTGATTCTGCAGGGGTATATGCCTTCCACACTGCCTTTCACTGGAATATTTTACAACTCTGCACATTACAGAAAACTGAGAGTAATGCCAATGTTTTTCATCCATAAAAGTTGGCAATGAAAGCTGACTTGTGGAGTTGCAGCTGATGTCCCAAGACATAGCTCCAGTTTTGCACCAATTAGTAAATTAATTCCAGCATTCAGTGATTTCCTATGTGAGGGTGCTTCAACACGTTCGTGGAGAAATGGAACTGAAAGATAAATTTGGGATGGGCTTTTGGCGCAGCAGTTAAGATGCTGCTTCGGATGCCTGCATCCCCTGTCAGGGTTCCTGGTTCAAATCCTGGCTCCTCTGCTTCAGCCACAACTTCCTATGCATGTGTCCCTGGGAGGCAGCAGATGATGGCTCAAGTACTTGGTTCCTCCCATGAGGGAGACCCAGATTGAGTTCAGGGTTCTTAGTTTTGATCTGGCCCATCCCTGACTTTTGCAGGCAGTTGGGGAGTGAATCAATGGGTGAAGTTCTGTTTCTCTATTTCAATAAAAATGAAAACATAAATTTAAACAAAATAAAAAAACAAAAATTTAAAGATATATTTATTTTGGTGTAAAAAGTTTTTTGAAATCCATGATTCCAAGAACTTTTTGAAGATCCATGGGTGTGTCTGTTAAGATTTTTTGCTGTAAAGTCTTAAATGAGTTAAATAAAACCTTTGACACCTGTCAAGAGTCATGATTACCGCTTTGAAAATTATCCTTTAATGTGGTCACACAGGCACAGGTTGGTTTGCCTCAAGAGGGTAATCATTATTTCTATGGAGCATGTTACAGGACATAACAGTAAGCAACAAACTCCACTGCATTCTGAAATGGGGAGAAGGTGAAGATAATTAGACTTAAAAGAGTGACTGAGGGGCTGGTATTGTACAGAAGCAGGTTAAGCTGCAGCTTACAACGCCAGCATTCCCTTTCAGAGCACTAGTTCCAGTCCCACCTGCTCTGCTTCTGATCCAGCTCCCTGCTAATGCACCTGGGAAGGCAAGCTAAGAGGGCCCAAGTGCTTGGAGCCCTGCTACTCATGTGGGAGACCCAGAAGAAATTCCTGGCTCCTGGCTTTGGCCTGGCCCAGCCCCTGACATTTTGGCCATCTGGGGAGTGAACCAGCAGATGGAAGACTTCTCTCTTTGTCTCTTCTCTTTTTCAAATAAATAAATATAAAAAAATTAAAAATAGGCTGAGAATATTTGCTAAACTGGGCATGAAATTAAAGGCAACTGATGGGGGTAGCACTGTGGTACAGTGGGCTAACCTGCTGCTTGTGAGACACTGGCACCACATAATTGGAGCACTGGTTTGAGTCTCAGCTGCTCTGTTTCCAATCTAGCTCCCCAGTAATGTGCCTGGGAAGGCAGCAGAGGATGGTCCAAGTATCTGGGCCCTTGCCACCCACATGAGAGATCTGGACGATGTTCTTGGCTTTGGCCTGGCCCAACCCTGGGGAATGAATCAGTGGATAGGATCTTACCCTCTCTCTCTGTCACTCTGCCTTTAAAATAAATAAATCTTTAAAAAAAAAAAAAAAAAAGAAACCAACATAAGATACACAGATATCATAATCAACTTACCAGTTTATCAGGGGATATAAAAGTGGTTTCCAGTACTTAACTCTAAGAGAAATATGTAATATACATCCATTAAAATTATCACTCAATGCCAAGAAAGTGATTTTGCGATGATAATGTCTTTCTTCATGTGGCCCTCAATAAGGCCAAAACAATAAACTGTACTTTCCCACAGGCATTTCCCAAAGGCTGCAATCCTTAAGCTTCAGGGCGCATCTGAACCATCTGGAGGTCACAGATGGGGCCCCTCCTCAGAGCCCTGTTTCCTAAAGTGTGGTCCCATGGTCAGCACCACTGGCATCACTCCGGGCTGGTATCCAGCCTAGGGTCCTTACAACCAACATTCACAGATCAGCTTTGTAAAGTCATTAATGCACCATTTGTCTGTATACACATTTAGGGAAAAAGAGGAGAGAGAATCCATAATTTCCTTCAGACTCTCAATCCCTGACCCCAAAAAGACATTGATCTAGAGCACTGTGCATCTGTGCATTAGAACCACCCAGAGAACTTTCTAGTATGCAGCTAGAATCTAGAACCTCTAACATATTGCTCAGTGTGCCTCAATTTTCTTAGCTGGGTTTTTGTCATGTGAACTAAGAGTTCTTTAGCAGCACTTTAGGTACAAGGATTTTTTTTTTTATTGTTGACTAGAAGAAATTAAAAATTTCATAGGATTAAAAAATACTTAAGGGGCCAGCACTGTGGTGCAGTGGGTTAACGACTTGGCCTGAAGCACTGGCATCCCATGTGGGCACCAGTTTGAGACCCGGCTGCTCCGCTTCCCATCTAGCTCTCTGCTATGGCCTGGGAAGGCAGCTGAGGTCCTTGGGCCCCTGCACCCATGTGGGAGACCCAGAGGAAGCTCCTGGCTCCTGGTTTCGGATCAGCTCAGCTCTGGCCTTTGGGGCCAATTGGGGAATGAACCACCGGATGGAAGATTCTCTTTCTCTCTCTCTCAATCTGTGTGTGTGTGTGTGTGTGTGTGTATAAAAC